TACACCATGCCTACCAATACTATCATTGGCAACTACAAAAACAGTCTTTGTAAAATACTTAATAGCAATATGCTCCATGGCGATATGAAGACTTACATTGATGGGTTATTAAAAAATATGGTTAGTTAAAGAGTAAAATAGTGACAGAGCAGTAATACTTGTATTTTTATATAATAAAACGCCTCCAAAGCAAAAAAAACCATAGAAAATATTGGTAAACACTACGCACATGAGGAAATCCACGAGAAGCCTGATATTACGGGAGCTTCCTTGGGGCACTACATGTGGTGTCACCATACGACTTCACGCTACCAAAGTGTGCACCTAGTCTAAGACTGTCCAGTAGGATATTATTGATATAAAATTACTCTTGAATGACTTTAGTTCTTTGTTGATCAAACTGACAACATAAACAAATTAAAACACAGCAATAGCCACATTTTATCTCTTTCTTTTTGAAACTTTATAAAAGTTGTATTCTACATCTAGAAACATGAAAAGATGTCTGTTCTTTAACAAGCTTAACGTGACGCTGCATATTGAAACGCTCTGTTGACGACATCACAGGTAGCGCTTGTAACATCAACCCTCTCGTGGATTTCCTCGTGCACATAGTGTACACCTAAACATTACTGACATTATTTATGCTTATATTATTATTGTTATAACAAGCTATTCTTATCAGATGCGATAGAGAAATGTAAGGTAGAATGTATGCTCTACGGTAAGATCATACTCGAGTTATTATAATGATTATCTCACCAAACACGCCAATGATAGCTACACTTATTATATGGATTTGTAATTATTACTGTGATTGGTCAGTTTATGTTACTGAGCTTTTGTTATTGATGTATAGACACAGCTTATTGACCCTTATTCAACATAAAATACGACATTTTCCCCTTCTAGGTTGAATACAACCGTGTAAATTTGAATAGTACGTTGAAAGGGTGTCATTGAGGGTAGCATTATTTAATACTTTTCTCATTTCTCATATTAAAGCAAAGTGAATATAGTGACGTAAAAAGGCTCAGTTCAAAAGGATTATTGAAATCAGTTAAGGTGTCTTTAAAGCATCTTTATAACTCGTCCAACCTTTCATAAATCAATTTAACAACTGCTTAAATGAATGTCTCCATAGGCATATCTCTATTACACATGATCAAACATACAGGTCAAAAGTGAGTAGCATGTTTCCCTTTCTTGGTTAAACTAATATCAACACAGCAATAATCTTTTTACTAAAGTCTGGTCTTTGTTTTCAAAAAGTCGTCCAACTAACGGTAGAGCGACTGAAAAACACAAAAATCTGTCCAAAAAGGAAAACATTCGTTCCTGAGCAATGTGTGTGACCAGTGATAAATATTTATCCCCTACCAACATCATTTGTTCTCATGTGACTCTTCCTCCTGACTTTCCATTTTAGTTAAAAAGCATCAAATTGGCACAATGCCCTTATCTTTTTCTTTTTCTTTTTCTCTTATTTGTTACTATGGGAGCAGAATCTTCTAAACCTATTTTAGGCCCTTCATCGCCTACTAGAGACGTCGTTGAATTTGACGAAAAGCTTGTCTACCAATTTGCTGATTTGGATATTGACGATATCAAGCATGTTCCCTCTGATTTATCTATCGAAAGCATTTCAAGATATTCCAAGCGTTTTTATCAAGACAGTAAAAACCTGTTGGCTAAAAATGCATTAGCTGGAAATGATCCTACCAATGTGTTTTTGAATTCTTCTGCTGCCATCCATAACGATCGTCATACATTTAATGTCAAGATAGACTTGGAAGGCTCTGCTACCAATCAAAAGTCAAGTGGTCGTTGTTGGCTATTTGCTGGAACAAACATTATGAGAATTGCTGTTATTACAAAATACAATTTACCAGATGACTTTGAACTTTCTCAAAGCTATTTATTTTTTTATGGTAAGCCAACTGCTGTAAACTTGCTCATGTTACTGATGCATTAAAAACAGATAAACTTGAAAAGGCTAACTGGTTTCTTGAAAACATGATTGACCTTGCACACGAGGATATTGATGATCGAGTAGTTCAATATCTCTTGACTGATCCTGTTGGTGATGGTGGCCAATTTGATATGCTGATTAACCTTGTTGAAAAATACGGCGTTGTACCCAAGAGCGTATTTCCGGAGACATTCTCGTCATCAAACACAAGACGTTTAAACTGGCTGGTTACTGTTAAGCTTCGTGAATTTGCTACGGTTATTCGTAAGCAAATCAGTTTGGGTATGTCAACACAATCTGTTCGTGTCTTGAAAGAAAAGATGATGGAAGATATTTATCGCATCATTACAATTCATCTTGGAGAACCTCCTTCTCAATTTGATTGGGAAACTCAGGATAAGAATGGCAAGTATATTGGCATTCATCATTTGACACCCAAGAGGTTTTTCAAGGAAGTTGTCAATTTTCCTGTAAGTTGCGTGCTCATTGTATCATATATTAGCCTAACCCTTTACATAGATCTCTTCTATGGTCTCATTAATCAATGATCCACGTAATCCTACGGATGCACTCTATACTGTTGATCGCCTTGGTAACATTGTCGGTGGTAAACCCATCCGTTATATCAATACCACTTCAGAAAATCAAAAGCAACTCGCTATCAACGTCCTAAAATCTGGTAGACCAGTATGGTTTGGTTGCGATGTGGGACAGTTTAGTAACAACCGCGTGGGTGCTATGGATACCAAAATTTATGATTATGAACTCGCATTCAATATAAAGTTCAATTTGACCAAAGAAGAAAGATTGTTGTACAAGGAAAGTTTGATGACTCATGCTATGGTGTTCACAGGTGTTCACCTTGATAAGGATGGTAAGCCAATCCGATGGCGTGTAGAAAATTCATGGGGCGAAGATACTTCTGGAGACAAAGGTTTTTGGGTTATGACAGACGAATGGTTCTCTGCCTTTGTCTATCAGGTATAAGACAAGACTTGATGGAATATGTGTGCTAAAGTACTTTATATAGGTTGTGCTTGAGAACAAGGATGTTCCTAAAAAACTACTTGCTATCTTGGACACTGAGCCTACTGTATTGCCTGCGTATGATCCTATGGGAGCATTAGCCTGTCCTCATTAGGATTAAATTGACATTTTGGTCCATGTTGTACTACGAATAAAATAAATAACATTTATCCTACTGCAAAGTCTTTCCGTATCGAGCCATCACATACAGATATCTCATTGAGATCAACAATCAAACATCTCTGATATGTCCCAATAAACATACTAAAAACAAACGCTCTCCCAAGTTGATACTATCTAGTTCTGTTTATAAAAGTAATCCACTGTGGATTGGTTGATTTGAACCACTTCTTCAAATACGATTACATAACTTATCGTTTTCTAATATTGATGATCTGAAGCTGAATCAAAGTCTATCTTTTTTTGATTGATACAATCTGATGACTTCGTTGTTGGTGTTTACAACTGAGTGATTAAAAGTTTTATTTATAAAAGCGTATCTACAATTAATCTTGCACGTCTAACTTCCTCTGATTCGTCTTGCTTAGTGCTTGACTGTGTCACTGATACTTGTGCTAATAACTTTTCTGCGTCAAAATCATCAAAGTCATCATTACTGACATTAGTATATCCTGTCAAATTATTTCCAATAGAATTCTTTGGTATTCTGTCTTGTGCCTCTTTCTTTGTTTTCTATCAATAAACATTAGCATATATATCATTTGTATCTATGGAATACAAATACCTCACGTGAGGCGCCTTGCAAATCTTTTAAATATTCCAATGCATTATCAAATTCACTTTTAGGCATCTTGTATAAACTTTGAAGAATCCATGTTTGTAACACCTTTTTGAATTTCCAATTCTTTCTGTCATTTACAAACAATCGAAGGTACTCAAACGCTTCTTTTTGTTTACTGTCCGTTTTTGTTTCTTCTGGCTTTTTCGTTTTGAGCTTTTTAACTTTCTTTGTCTTCTTTTCTGAGACTTGTTCTTCACTTCTTCTCTTTTTCTCTCCTTTAGTAACAGTTTCTACTTTTTGTTCGTTTCCTTCATCGTCAAAAGAGACGTGTGTACTCTTTACTCCTTTTAATAATGCTTCTTTTGCTGCTTTCTTTGCTGTCATAGCCTCCAATAGCTTTTGTCCTTGAGTTTGTTTTGGTTTTTCATCTATTTTAGGTTCACTTTTCTTTATTGATTTGACATTAGACATCTTTTAGATTGTCGAATAGACC